CTGGATTTGGTGATTTAAAAAAGCACCCTCCCCTCTGCGGACACCTTCACTCCCCTCCTCTGCACCTGTCCTGTTCTCTGACCTCATCTTCAACACGTGCCCCCTCTGCACCTGCTCTTCCTGCTCACTACATGACCCCCGAGCCGTCATCACTTCTTAATATTATGTGCCGTCTCTCTAGTTGCATGTGTGCTTTACTGCAATGACTGTTTTAAGTGCACGGCCGGCCATACTGAAGTAACATGGAGTGAGAAGCGATATAGACATGTATTTTCTTTCTTCTTCTTTATCTTCTGAAAGATTCATATATGACTTTATTATTCAACGACCCTGTTAAGGGTTGAATAAAAAGTTTATGTGCAATCTTTATAACTTTATGTATAAATTTTACAAGGGTACTTCAAAAATTTCATGGAAAGATTCTTATCTTTTAATTCTACTTTTCTACAAACTTTTTGAAGTCCCTTTGTATCTGTAAACTTTATATATAAATATGAAGTTTATAATCCTTCTGGAATCTAACTTTTATGCATATATTTACTTTATAGAGACAGTAAGTTGCCTAAGCAGATTGAATTACCTGAATATATTACCACTGGGTACTATTAGTCATATTTCAAAGCACTGAATCTCGTGTGCTAGTGTCAGTGGTAAAAGCCTGAGCTTTCTAAAGACTATATTCGGTTGATTATTCTTTTGGGAGGCACGATACATCTGCTTTATCCCTATTGTTGCTTTTCCCAGATCATATTAGAACCTACTGTAAAGAAGGCTTTTGGTGTTCTTAATATTATCCTGTTCGTTAGAGTGTCTCCAGCAGTTTGAGAGATGGGACTTAAGTCCAGGGGAACTGATGCCTGTTCGGTTGCTGTCTCTCCCTTTAGTGTCCCTTTTCCGGACTTCCCATGACTTGACCATCATACACCCACAAGATCAACCTCCCTTAGAACAACTTAACGAGGCCATGTACCATCTTTATGTTCAATAATTATCTATGTCTCTGCAACCTAAACCAAATACAAAGCTCAGCAGTGTAATTATGATGTTTACTTATTACTCTATTGCCTACTTAAAATTTTCCAGATGATGTCATAAGCACTATCCATTCAATGTCTCTCTCACTCCACACATCAATTCTTTGAATCTAGTGCTATTAATAATAATGTGTTACAATACCGTGTATCACTGATGATTACCTCAATCCTTTCCCTGGTTCAGTTCCAACAATTTCTTATCCACAATTATAAAATCTGAAGAGGTCTGAAAATTAAAAGCTTTTTGTAAGTTTAAGCAAACTAATTTGGCAGTATCATCTGACCTGAACCAATAGGAGGTTTTTAATAATCTTTCCCTTTCTCACTATAAAAAAATTGCTGCAGAAGTAGCCCTGTTTGATTATAAGGTGCTGCCCCAGATTCTGCTGTAGTGACTCAATAATATGCATGTTTGAACCACATCAGCTTTCACAAATCTGAAAATTTCTGAATTCCGACATACAACTGGCCACAAGGGTTTTAGGTAAGGATTATAACCCTCTATTTGAAATGTTAAGAGTTTGAAGGGGATTTAAAAATAAACTCTCTCACTGTATACTTGAGAAAAATGAAATCTAAAGCAGAACTAACACTAGAATTCAGGACAAAGTTTGCTTTTTACTCTATCATACTGCTCCTTTCTTGTAAGACTGAAACTTAACTTTCTCTAGCTGCAAAATAGAGATAACGACAGGACTTATATCACAGCGATAACGTGCCAGGGTCAAATAAGATAATGCATCAGCAGTGCTCGACATGTGTGTCCCATCAACAGCACTGGGATCATTAGAGAAAATACACTGAATTATTAACCTCTGTGATTTTCTTGTCTGCACTTCCTCGTATGTGGGTGATAACCATACTGTATCCACATTGTCATTAGGAACATTAAGAGAATGAAGAAGGAAAAACAGTAAAAGTGACGCCTTTTACTTCCCAAATAGGCTCTTGATGCTCACACAATAAATTTGAAAGTCAAACCTATTCATTTGCCAGAGGCTAGTTTGGAAAGGCTTTTAGCAATAAAAGCAGAACGTCAAGAAAAAAGAAAACCAGCGTTGTTACTGTGGTAACAGATTAGAGAGAGAATGAGGAGACATCCTGGCAACCCTATCTCAGAAAACTAGATGAAAGTTACCTGGGCCAGGGGAGGGGCAGGAAGGTTGTCCAGGCAAGACTCGGGAAGGGTGTGCTAGGGTCTGAGATTAGGGCACTGAACTTGGAAAGACACAAGAACAGAAGAGAACCAGCTTTAACAGACTGCCAGCCACCACTGCCACCATAACCTGTGTCAGAAGCGGGCCAGGACCTGCAGGGGTCCCTCACCCACCTGGAAGTGCTGCAGGCCCTCTGTGCCATGAACCCACGTCTTTATTGTCCTTGTCAGTTGGGCATTTTCTATTCCTAAAGGTGACCATGCATCCAGGTCTGCCCGGCAATGTAAGTCTGTTGCTTACCTTTCTAAACTTCTTGTCTCAGCATAATTAATAACAACTTCTCTATTATTTACATTTTATAGTTGATAAAACATCTGGTCACTCTACCTATCGACAGCTGCTGGTAACCCAGCAGGACTTGCACCATTCACCTCTTGAGGCGTTGCAGGGTCTCATCTGAACTGATCCAAAGAGACGTACTACTTTCGATGACCCAAGACCCTTGCAAGGGAAGATGCTTGGCACTTGGAGGGATGCTACTACCGGGAAAGACCTGAAAACACACTGGTGTGGCACAGGGCAGTGGTGACTGCCTCGGGTTCTTATGTCAGGTGAGGTACAGATAGCATATTTTACTCACCTTCAGGGCTTAGCATCCTCCTGTGCACATAATAAAGAAGTATAAAATAATTTGATCAAAAGAACCCTCTGTTTTGAAAGAAAAAAGAAACCCATATTGTTTTTACCTCTATAAAATCCTACTTAAGGTACACAGTTGGTATTACCAAACATGGCATTTAGTGTGTTGAATTTTACAAGTTTATGTTCTAAATGTTCTTTCAGCAGCAGGCAGTAAGTTAGAGGAGGAGGGTACTTGGGTACTTGGTAGAAAGAAATAGTGATGGTGTTTTTTTTTTATCTTTTTCAAGTTTTGCTTTATCAATGTGATGTATTCTTCCTAAATTTTACTTTGCCTCTTACCCATAGATAAATGATATAAATATGCAAAACCTTGGCTTGAAGTTTGGGTGACTAAGAACTACTTTATTGTTGTTTGTTATGGCTATGCAGTTTTAAAACATGTTCAGAACTTTGAGTTCAGAACTCTGTTGCTATAAAGTGCTGTTTGAGAAGAAACCAAGCTTAATCACTTAGGTTACACAAAACATTTATTGGCAGCTTACTTTCCACTTAAGTCAAGATTTAAGTCATTTGACCCTTAGAGATTACTACTGTAGTCAAATTTTTAAAAATAAAAAATGAACATTTTAAAAATCTAACTTCTTACAGAATTTTATATTATTTGTATTAATACTTTGTTTATATTTTTATAAATTTAAATAAAGAATAAGATTCATTAGCAATCATCCACAGCTTCTTGAATTAAACATATTCCTTCAAGGAAGATTAATAACCCTTAATTTAAAGTAACCCTTCCAGTAAAAAAATTATTATTTTTTAAAAAACTGATTAAAATCTTATAAAAATCAAGCTCACTCTGAAAAATCAGCAAAGCCACAGCAGAACAATTTTTTTGAATGATAACCCAAACCTGTGAGAAAAATAGCTCTAAGGGAAATAGAAAATCTCCACTAAAATGCCACAATCATAATTGCTGCAGGAAAGATCCACTGACAAATGCTACAATGAATGGTCAAAACTGTAATAAATAAGAGTGGAGTATTTACATAGTCTTTATCTCCCCCTAAATATTTATTAATCACTGTAGTGGTTATAACATATATCCATAAATTCTTTGATAGTCCTCTCTCCAGGAAGTAGAGCTTAATTCCATTTCCTTTGGATGTGGTCTGCACTTAGTGATTGCTTCTTTTTTTTTTTTTTTTTTTTTGG